AAAGGTCCAGTCAGTGGAAAGACACTACCACTTTGACTCAGGACACAGCAGAGTTGCAAATGCTAGTTCTTTTTTAAAGAGAAAACATCAAGAACCAGGAGGGTGCCCCCCGGGCCACACAGTGCAGGAAAACACCACCTAAGGCAAGACCTGAGCAATGAGCCACGGGAGGATCACGGAGCAAGTCAACCAGCCTCCCAGACGAGGTACAGGAGCACGCTCAGACTACAGCACAAACCACATGGAGGTAAGCAGAGCCGCAAAGACACGTCCCCTCCTGTAGACACACTTCTGTGATGCACAGGACTGAGGGATGCAGCTAACGCTGGGAGGGAGGGAAAGGTGTAGCCTTCAGTCCACGTGCAAAGGAACAAACCAGATCATCCACCTAGGGGTGAGAAAAAACAGCACGATAAACAGCAAGGAAGATGAAATGGCAAATGAGCAGAAACAGATGCAAGAAGCCAGACAGACACCAGCGAGGACCGACAAGCCGAAGGCCACTGTAAACACAAATGGCATTGACAGACCTCTGGTGGGAGTGGCCAGAGGCCAACAGGCATCAGGGCCACCAGGGGAGGGAGAGGCGGACGGCCATACAGAGCAGACAGGCCAGCAACAGGCTCATTTTCTAGAAAGAAATCCAACCTATGGAAGTGGCTCAAGAATCAACATCCAACAGCCGTGAGGGGAAAGAATCTAAGGCCGCCAAGGCGCCCTGAAGTCCAGCCTCCACACCCAGGGACACTCTGGCTTGCCCCACCTCCACGCAGCACCACCCACACCAAGACCCAATGACCATCTCCACAGGGAACCAGCAGCACGCTCACCCTGCGCAGATGCCCCAGAGTGTGACCCACATGCCACACGACCTCAGCAAGGACGCTGATCGCAGAGTCCCTGGGGCCTCTCCTGGAGCAATGCTATCAGAGTCTGGGTTTCAGAGACTAAAACCCAGCCAGAGCCCTGCAGCTCTCCAGGGCCACACCTGTCCAGGGAAGGGACACCAGTGGCACCCAACACACTGACCTAAGTTGAGCTAAAGAGCAGAATGCCGACACGACCAAGAGACCTTCGGTAAACACGGCCGTTGGGTTAAGCAACTCAGAGCCAGCAGGGCCTGTGGCTCCCTCCCGGCTCTGGCACAGGGCTGACAGGTTCTAGTGCTCCTCCTGTGCTCCTCCCCTCCCAGTCCCGTGTCCCACTCCCTGGCGTGGGCTTCCTCCTCGCTGCACCCTGCAGAGCACAGATGTCACGTTCCCACTGTGACCTGAAGCCCAGGAGTCAGTGTTTCCCTGACTCGTCAGTCTCACCCCAGTCCAGAGGACAGCTCCTGAGACCCAGGACTTCTCCTTACCCTCCCCTGCCCACTGAGACTTGCCAACGCTGGCACCAACCCTTAATGGCCTGCTGTCCCTTCTGCACACGGAGGCCTCTCTCACAAACCTGGCTGGTGCCCACTCGTTGCAGCCATCCCCACACTCGAGTGCCCCCCACCCCAAGGAGGACGGAGCACAGCCCCAGGCCAAGCCCTCCTGCCCGGTGTTCCCAGGGTCAGGCATGGTGGCTAACTCCCTGCACTCACACAGGCACGTCTCAGGACAGAAGGAGCTCGGGTGATCAAGGTCCCTGACAACCAAGGGCTGGCACGGCTCTCCCAGCGCCCCGCTGCCCTCTGGAAGCTCACCAGCGAGGGTGCTTGCTCTCTTCTCTAGACCCTAGAGGCTGGAGCTTGATTTCTTTCACCCTGAACCCGCCTCGCCTCTTTCCTCCACAGTCCTGGGGACCCGGGTGTGCCTGTTGTCTGTGGGCTCCTCCCCACCACCTTGGAAGTTCGTCCTAGGAAAGAAGAGACCGGAGAGCTCGCGGGAGGTGTCTTTATTCAGCAGGGCCCCTGCACAGGGAGTGGCGCCTACACTGTGCTCCTGAGGTTGAGGCACCCCGCGGTGCTGGGCGACAGGGAGCTGAAGCTAATGACGATGCTGTTGGAACCGTAGGCCACAGTAGCCACATGTCCCGGTTTTCGTTTCTTTGTCCTGAAAAAAATTCAAAAGGAAAATCTCATAGTGTACACTCCACTTCCAACCACAGCCTGAGGAGCAGCACAGGACTGGAGATGCATGTCAACCAGAAGCTCACTGAGGCCCAGGTGGGGGCTGAGCTGGGACAAGCAGGCCCTGGATCCTGGTTCACCCTGACCTGACCTGTGGGGCAGCGGGAGGCCGAGGATGGAACCCCGCCTCAGGCCCTGCCTATGCAGCCATCCCAAAGGATGGCCAGAGGAACTCCCGTGCCCCCAACAGCTATAGCTGGCTGCAACCCACCTGCTCTCTAAGCCCGAGGACCAGGACGCCAAAACCTCAGCCCATGGGCCGGGCTCCAGGGATGTCACCTGGACACAAGGTGACAGCATCCTGTTCTAGGCTGCTAACACCTTGCGCTGCTACACTGCCCTTTACCCTGACAAGCACCCAAGATGAATGCCAGCTTCCAGTAAAGGCCACTTCCAAGGTGACAGGCCACCAACCAGGACGCCAGCTGGTGAAACAAGAGCCCCACCTGCCCCGTCACAGGGTCTGCAGTCTCCTCCCCTCCAGCACACGACCTGCACCACTGGGACGTGCCCCAGGGCCTCACAGCTCCTCCGCTGGCCCGTTCCTCGTCCTCAGGAGCCCGTGTGGTGCTAGCCAACAGGACTGCAGGGGACCGACAGGAAAAGCCTCCCTCTGAGGGTCGCATGCTGCCGTCCCGACCTTCAGTGTGGCTGGATGCAGCAGGGAGGTTAAAATGGGTCACTAAGGTGGTCCGCATGAACAGACACATGCAGAGGGACCACCACATGTGGACCCAGGGAGGACACAGCGTCTGCCAATCAGGGAGGGCCGTCAGGAGAGGGCCTGCCCGCCAACCTGGGCCTCCAGCCTTGGGAAGGGCATGGACATGCATGGCCTGAGCCTTAGGCTGAGGCACCCTGCCTGGCAGCCTGGGACAGCAGCCAGGGGGATGGCTCAGAGACAGGCCTGGTGCTAGAGGGGGAGGGTGGAGGCCCCAGGACGACCCCAAGCCAGCACTCAGGCACGAGCTGCTTCCCGAAGGCCACTCCACACAGGCCCCGCCGTGCAGGCTGGCCGGCGACTGTGTGCAGGTGACCACTGGGGACCAGCAGGCCACACAAAGAGCACCAGTGAGCAGCAGGGCTACCTACCAGGTTGATGTACACCTTGGGGTGGCCCAGGGCGCCCCCGCCGCCGTCACAGGAGATCACTCGGTGGTCCACCTCGCTCACAGGCTGCTCTGCTATCAAATCAATGGCGAAGTTTTCATTCACCTGGAACAAGAGGAAACTTAGCCAGGTGTACACAGCCTCGATCATCTATACCATGGAAGCTTGTCAACAGCACCCACCCAACCCATGCACCCGGCACATTTCACTAAAGATGACCATCGTCTTTCCACACAGACGAACAATTCCCTGAAACACAGCCACACGTCCACATTGACCTTTCACATGGAATGCAAGGATTGGAACAGTAGGAAGAATTCTCACTCTGCCCTTGGCTCGGCAACTGCCAAGCCTGCCCCAGGTGCCCACACTCACTCTCCTGTCCCCTCCAGTGCTCATGCCCACCCTCTCCAGACCCAGAAGAGCACAGCTGGCCACAAGCCTCCGGGATTTCTCGAGAGACCTGTCAGGGAAGCTGGTGTGTGGCAAGCATGACCCCACACATGTCAACACATACATCCACACCCACACGCTCTCACAGGCACAAAGACACCCACAAAGACATGCGGTTCAGAACAGTGAGTCCTCGAGAGAGCGCCAACTCCGATCTACAAAACTGTCTCTGCTAGTGCCCACCCAAGCGCCTTTTCCCACGGTGAGAGCCCTGGCGCTCAATGACAGCACGTGCTAACCTGCACAGTCCCCAGCTGAAGGAACTGCGGACCTGACACCAGAGTCCAGGGGCTGCACACCCACCCGAGGCAGATCCCCACCAGCATGTTACGGCTTCACAAAACGCAGAGCTGGCCCTGCCGCAGTGAGTCTCCCACCTCCCGGCTGACTCAAACACGTTTCCACACATCCAAACAAACCTGAAGGGACAGGCAGCACCAGGCCCTCCGGTCCTCCCCAGCCTGGCAGGGAGCCTGCTCCACCTCACCAGGTGGGGGAGCGTCCACAGCAAGTCCTGACCTGCACACACGGGCTCCTGCCGCCTCCCTCTCCATCACAAAATGCTGCTCGCTGCCGCCAACCAGCACCTCCTGGAAAGAGCCCCCTTCCCCAGAGCCCCCTTCCGTAACAATACCCAACGTGCCCGGTGTGCAGCCACTGACGCGGCGCTTTCCATGATTCTCCCTTAACGGCACTGCATGAGCAGCCCCGCACACAGGTGTGCACAACAGGAAGTGTGTCCTCAGGGAGCACCGGGCAGTGGGCCCCTACGGCCCGAGGATGAACAGCACACAGAACTGTCAGACGCTGGCCAGGCTCAGCCCCGCCTCTGGGGGCACCTCAGAGCAGCTCTGGGTGGTGCTGCTCTCCGTCAGGGCAGCTGAGAGCTCCGCCAAGTCCAGGTCTGCTGCCCATTTCCACAGGACTCTGGTGCCTTTTCCTGTATATTTTAAAGTTCTTCATCATGGAACATCAGACCTTTATCAAATCAGGCCGTGACTGTCCCACCACACACCCAGGTTCTGACTTCCAGCGTGTCACCAGGACTCCGACATGCCCCTTCTCCAGGCACATTCTAGTAGTGACTTGTCTAACTGCAGGAAAAAGCCTACTTCGAGGGGACTGGGCATGCGTCAAGCTGACCCGTTAACTTAGCCAGACACCCCGGACAAAGCTGAAACATGTGCACAAGAAAAAGGCCCTCGCCTGTCCAAACCTACTCTGTGCCTCGGGGACCAGCCCTCAGCAGTGGCTCGGAACCGCGGCAGAGACCTTCCTCAGGGTCTCCTGTGTCTGCTGGCGAGTCCTGGTCTCCTCGTCCACCGCATCGCCTACCAGACTAGTGTAACGAACCCCTGTGAGGAGACGCACGAAAGGGCAGACAGACACAGGGTACAAGTGGGCAGACAGACGGGAGCGGAGAGGAGTAAAGAGGTGAAGAAGAGGAAGTGTCCGCTCCTCCCTCCTGCCCAGCTTATTCACTCAAAAAAGGCCACATATTACTCTTCACCGTGACTACACTCTGACCAGTATTCCTTTAACCCTGAGGGCCAACTGAGATCAGGTCCAGGTTAACACAGAGCCTCGCACACCCAAGGACATTACTGTGGAAATCAGGTAGTGCACCCGCATAGTTACCTTAATAGCCTCAGGGGGAAACTGCTGGGCATTCCAATCCAGTTGCCCCCCAAGAGTTTGCTCACTGGGGGACGCTTCCCTGTCTATTTCCATGGTCAGAATACCTACAGACTACTATGCACACTTACAATGGAACTGTTACAATAAACCCACCACGACCGGGAAAGACCATCCGGCAGAAAATGCACCAACACTAGCCCCGTGAGCTCACAGAGCAGCAAGGGCACACGCCGTGCAGTGCTTCACATGGAATCCTGTGGCCGCTGTGGCTGCTGTGGCTGCTGTCTGACCACTGCCCAGCATCTTGGGGAAGACTGCATCCTGTCAATCAGTGGAGGAAAAGATCGAAACCCAAAGCATGGTTTCTGCTAAGTAAGGCCTCTGTACCAGGGTAAAGTCCACCCGTTGACACTGGCCATTCTGTGTGAGCTGTACATTCTCTGGTTTGCAGATTCTTCTCAGCTTTATCATCGATTCTCAGGGGTCTTCAGACACAGCACGTCACCTCCACATTAGAGTGCTATTACTTCCCCCACTCCCTCACCTGTGATGCTGGTAAACCGTGCAGCACATCCTGGGCTTCTGGGCCTCATTCCTGACCACAGGGGACATCACTGGCGTTTTTATGGGACAGAGGTTCTGGGACTGAAGTAAAACATGTTTCCACAGCAGGGAAACACGGTCGACCCCCAGAGTCTCCAAACAGAAGCAGCAGTAAACTGCCAGGGCCTTTTCAGCAGGTGAGGATATGGCTCCTCTCCAGACCACTGGGCCAGTACGACGCTTCCTCAGACCTCCTCGCACAGACTACTGGGTCACCGCGCAGCTGGAGCACCTGCCGGCATCTCACACAGAACTCAGCGCCCACGTCCACATTTATGCTTCTCTGTTTATTAGGCTTAAGCATCGTTGTTGTTCTTCTCATGCCTTAAAACATCTCAAAGTGTTCCCTGAAGTTCTGCGCAGCTGCAGGATTCCTGGACACCTAGCAGTTGGGTAGAATGTCCCCATGAGCCACCTGGAAGGGCCATTCCTTGGCTTTAAGTTCTACGGACACTGGTCTGACTGAGCCTCCCACTCTCACTGGAGGCAATTCCGGTCACCGTGTCCCTGTCCAACTATCCACCGGTCTGAGTCCCTCTGACACCTGCAGAGGTGCACTGCAGGTGCTCACTGGGCCACAACTCCTCACTGAGATGGTTCACTCTGCGCCCACATCTGTTCTCTTCCGGCCAGGCAGTTCCACTTGACCGAGGAATGACTGGTGGCTTGGTGGCTTGCTGGGTTTCCTCGCGCACGCAGGGTTCACTCACCTACCCCGCCTGCCTTCGGCTCCACTGTTTCGCCAGTGTTCCCTTCTCCGCGCTGACCTGGCTCACGCTGCCACCCCTCACAGCTGAGCTGGGACCCGACCAGGCTGTGACCAGCACAGACTTATGATCACCTCCTCGGTTGCCTGGACTTGCTTCTGTCCCCTGGGCAGACTGCTCTTCCTCTTGCCCCTATGCTTGTGCCCCGTACCGTGACCGCTGTGCCCTGGGCATGAGCTGTTCCCCAGTCCCTGTGCGGGACTGTCAGCACTGAGTCTTCTCGGTACACTCAACGCTCTTCTAGCCTCAGTCCCACACTGCTGGGCATCATGCCCTCAACCTATCCTTCTGGTCCTCACTGGCTGGGTCAGTACACACCCTGGTGCCCTCTGAGCCCATGCTGCAGGAGTCTCTTGTCCACCACCAGGAGCCACAGACTGCAACAGAACCCACCCCACGGAGCACACAGTCGCTCTAAGTGGAAGGAGAAACAACTGGACATACTGCAGGGCGTGAATGGGGACACTGCGAGGCGGAGACACCAGCTACTGAGTGCAGGCACACCCTCCGCTCCTGTGAGCAGAAGATGAGGGCCCCGCCGACACACAGTTCCGTAACACTGGAAGGACACGCCAGTAAAGGTCACTAACAGGAGGCAAAGAGTCCAGGGGAAAGGGTTACGGTTAGGCTTCCTTTGAAACTTTATAAGTTCAATATTAAAACCATGTTTACGGTTCACAAAATTAGAAAAATGAACATTTTTCTGTAAAATAAAAAGGAAACCTATGGACCTGGTATTTCCAAGTAACTTTAAAAGAAAGAAGAGGAAGGCCTCCAACAGGACACACCGTGAGAATGGGGCACTTCCACGGTCTCTGCAGGTGGCCCTGCACTGGGGACAGCGGACGCGGAGGTGAGGCCAGCAGCCACAGCGGTCTCCCGACCCTGACCTCACCAGGGCTGTCCTTCTCACTCATGAAGCACGTGTCCTCCTGTGCCCACGCGCACACACGCCTTGTCCCCCAGGAACAGCACCAGTGACAATGAGCACACCGTGGCCCCTACACCCCACTTCACACCCAGAGGACCAGGCTCCTCCAAAAGCGGCTGGTTCCAGGGTGGGAAGGACTTGAGATGAACCGGAGAGTGCTGCGACAGATGAGGAAGGGATCAAGGATGACCCGGGGGGGCGAGAACCTCCCACGAAGGCTGGCGTGAGGACACGGGAGGTGGCCACCAAGCACTGAAGACCACGTTCTTGTGACGTGGTCGAACCCGTCAACACCTCCCAGGGAGTCGAGTGCCAGTCAGACACAGGAGGCCAGCGGGCACCTCTCCTGTTCTCCCTACAGCAAACTCGCTGGTACTGCGAGACGGCAGAACATCACCTCTCCCAGGCCCTGGGTGGAGTGCACATCAGCCACAGGCACGCTAACACAGAGGACGGACCCCGCCACCAGATTACAAGCCCCTCAGGACCAGAGCATGCCCAACGCTACAGGGACAGACCTCCACGGGAGAGAACCGATTCCTAACCAGGGAATTCCTGGGAGAAGGACAGGGCAAGGAGAAGGGCAAGTGGGAGCCCGCAGACACAGGAGGGGCTGGAGATACCCTGATAACTGCAGTGTACAGGGCTTACTGGCTCCAAGTCAAACTGTAAAGTATGGCAAAACTGACAGCGTTTAGCACCCCATGGGTGACAACACTGTCATCTACTGAAGTAAATAAAATTCTGTCATCTTCTGAAATGAATGCTGGCAAATTTGAAAGCAATAATGTGATGCCAAAGACTTGCCCAGAGTTACCTAGGGCTGGCAGGGCTGGGAGCTGGCAGAGCAGAGCTGAGGCCGGGCTGGCCACCTGCCAATGACCTCAGCTGATGGCTGCTGAACCCGAGAGCCTGGGAAGAAAGAATCGCTGTACTGCTCCACTTCACAGTGGCTTTTAACAAAGCAATCCAGAATCCTGGCTTGGTGAGCAGCCCCTCCTGATGCCCCCGGTGGCAAATCCAGAAACCCGGGTGGGGCTGACCTCCCGGAGTATCCATCCCTGACTTAACTGCCTCAGTCACAAGCCAGAACAGCCAGGAGACAGGCATTCTCACTGCAAGAAGCAGAGCCTTAGCGGTAAGAAGCCCACCACACAGTGCCCCGCCCACCCCAAGCCCCACTGAATCCACCCTTGTTCCTTCATGAGTCACTAGGCCTGCTGCAAGCAGGAGATTTTCCCTTTTCCAGGGCACTTCTTCCCGAGGCTCTGGAGGGCTTCGGTCATCCTCTGAACACAGGACATCCTGGTCATGAGCAGGAAAGGTCTGTTTCGCACACAGGCTATAAGGAGGACCTCGCCAATGACACCTCGTCCCCTGATCTCTCCCATTCCCAAGCTCAGCAGCGGGGACCAGATGTGCCACAAAAGCCAGCTTAGGAGGCCAGAGGTTCCACAGCTGCTGCATACCACAGGGGACACACTGCATGAGGCAGCATCCCACCCTTCCCACAAGCCATCAGGCCCACAGGAGCATGGAGCCCGACATAAGGTCACTCTGCAAGGCTGGCTGGTAAACAACCTTGCTGTTTCCAATCGGGTGAGAGCTGCAGTCCAACAGGGTCCTGGCAGTCCAGGGGCATGCTGGCCTCCACCCCTGCAGCCCCAACTCCCACCTGCACATTCTGGACTACACCAGGCAGACAGACCCTCACCAGTACAGGGGCGGGGCTGAAAACAAGCCCAGAAGCTCACGAGACGGGTAAGCAGCTGTGTCCACAACTACCTGGCCAGGGCTGAGGAGTCTTGTACCACTGCTGGCAGAGGCTGGCCGCAGAGAGGCAACGCCCAGTGCTCTCACCAAAGCTCATGGAAACATGGCCTTCCAGAAGGGCTGGTGTTTCCAGGAAGACTTGTCAGTTACGGGCTACCACCGAGTGCAGCCTCTCGGAGCTCTCTGGAAACAGAGAAGTCACCAGAAATGACGGTGCCCGAAGCCCACGGCAGTGCCCAGCAGCAGCCGGCCTCCACTGTGGCGCTACAGGCCCCTCGGCCACGACACCAGCACCTTGCAGCAGGCCTGTAAGAAGGCGTGTTCTGCTCAGCCCCAGGCAGCGATGCCAGAACCAAGGGAGTGAAGCCGTGCGGTGCAGTAACATGGGACACCTAAGTGACAACATGTCAGAGGCCACACTAACAAACCCCCAGGCCCCCAGCACTCAGAGACCCACGTCTCCTGAGGGAAGGGCAGCTCACACAGGATGCTGCCGACACGAGACTGCCCTCCTGTCACTTACTGCGCAGCCCAGGGCGACCCTGACCCCCATTATCAGCAGCAGCTCCCCAGAACTCAGCTCCATGCAGGAGTACAATGAAAACGCAGTCCACACGCCCCCTGCTCTTCCAAGGGGAGCGGACAGGAGCGGCAGGGCACCGTGGTCCTCTGAGGCCATCCGTGGACAGACTCACTGCTGGTCACTGCCACCCTGGAAATGATGACCCTTCCTCTGATCTGGGCATGCAGACACAATTCAAACCCCAAGCCCCAGATTGGGTACAAGTGGTGTTTTCTACCCTGGTTCCTCTTTGGCTGAGCACTGTGGGTACACAGTCTCCCCATGTCACCCAGGTCTTATTGCCTTCTACTGGGTGTGTTAAAGAAATACACTGTTAGCTGCCCCGCCCCTGGTTCTCTTGTGGCAGGCAGGTCCCCTGGGCTGAGGGCCTTTGGCCTGGACAGTCCGTCTGTGTTGGTCAGGAGGCCCTTCCTCCCACCTCCTCTGTTGGGGCTGTAACTTTCCCGTGGGTCGGCCCCTTCAGCTGCCTTTCTTCCATCCTGGTCATTTTACCTTTAAAGCTGAACACTGTATCCTGGAAATGGACCACCGGGATTTTCTATTACTCACAACAGAGTCAGGGCTGATCTTGCGGCTGCCTCACGGAGAAGCCACCACACCTGAACCTGGGTGAGTTACAGTTTGAACATTTTCTCTGGGTCCTGGGGGGCAAACAGCCCTGGCTGGTAACTGTTACTCCTGACAGCCCACGCCCTTCTAAGATGGCGGGCCTGTGATTGGTATTCCTCGAGAGGACTCACTATTCATGTCTTCTATGCCCTGGCCCAGGAGCTGCCCCACCCTGGTGACAAGTGACAATTTCCCACCCTGGTACAGCCTCAGCATGAAATCCCTTTCCTGCCTGAGTGGTCTGTGACAAACAGGGTGGAGGGAGCACTGCTGCTGAGCCCCTGAAAGGGACCCAGTCAGTCTCCACAGGGGCCTGAGGTCACCTTCTCCCCAATTTCTTTCTCTCTTACCAAGTCACACTGTGTTGCCAGCTGCCGCACACCTCAGCCACCCAAGCAGCTGGGACTACAGCCCCGTGCCTGCGGCCCCGACTTCATCTTGTTTCCCTAAGATGGCAAAAGACACATCAACACCAGCATCTTAAAGCCCCCTGAGTGCCGAGGTGGCTGTAAGCATTTCACAAAGTTGTACAACCGTGACCCCTGCTCACTTGTCCCTGTAACCCACTCCAGCACCACAAAGCCCCCAAAGCTTCCCACCCTGTCATCAAGGTTCAGGCGACTATATCAGAACCCCCAACCCGTCCCTCTTAGGTCTGGACAGCGTCCCACTGTGCATGCCCCATGTTCCCATCCCTTGTCCTATGGAAGGAGGCCTGCATGGCCTCCACATCTTCTCCACGGTGAACAGCGCGACGTGAACACGGCTGTGCAGATCCCACGTGCCTATGGCCCCAGCTTCAGTTCCTGTGGGTCCAGTTAGGCGTGGAATGGCGGGTCCCGGGTTCCCTGCAAGTGGCTGCCTTGACAGCACTTGCTGGCTCCTCTCTGGGCCCCTGATGTGCTTCCACACCACACACTGGCAGCTTCCTCTCCAGCACGGCTTGCAGTTGACTGTCCACCAGCCTAAGCTGCACACACTCCTCTCAGAAGGATCCATTCACCTCACATGGAGAACCTGTGAGCACCACCTGCAGGCTCCCTAAAATCAGTGATGGCTTGCACCTTAAAGTGCCACTGAGAAGCAGCGAGGGGCTGGGCAGGTGAGGCCACAGGGTCTCTGCTGACATCCCGGCCAGCCCCAGGCTATGGAGGTCACAGCAGTGCCCAGAACCCATCTCCACCTGGCTACAAAGGTCCAATGTGGGTTGCCTGGGTGCAGACTTAGGAGGGGCCCATCCCACGGGGAAGGAGGCTGGCTGAAGGACCCAGACTCCTGGTGTTCTGCAGCTTCTGCCTGATTGCTTACCTTCAAACACTGAAAATGAGCCTGCCCTCCAGCTGTAAGGAGAGCAGCCGCACAGCAAGGTGCTCTCTTCCCAGTGCTTCCTGGGACAGCTGCTCCCAGCCCATCCCTGTCTCAGGCACCAGGTACCCACGCCCAGGAGATGAGTAACCAAGACTCACTGTGTTAGAAAACTCGCTGGTGGGAGCATGGCTCTGAATGCAGCCGGCCAGGACAACCCAGCACCCGAGCTTGTAAGCAAACACACCAATGCACTCTGGCCAGTCCCCACCACCTCCAGTCCCAGATGTCCCCTTCACACCACTTCCCACTGCAGGCCTCAGAGTACCACCAGTGCAGGAGAGGGATACCTGCTATCAACAGTGCATGTCTGACAACCCAGTAACGGCAGCAGAAGAACCTGCAGCCTGGCATCCACCCTTCCAGGGGCCCAGAGCACCACCAACTCCAGGACCACATCAGGTCTTACTTCTGTTCCCTTCCTTGTGGGGGCGGGGCGTGCCTCATTCTGTGGCATATCTGCAGCCTCCCCTCAATAAGAGCTGCCATAAACTGGGACCGTGGGGCCCTATACAGGCACTCTGCAGCTATGGCAGCTCAAGAATGCGCTAGCCCCATGGGGAGGTGCTTCCCATTCTCTCCTGCAAAGGCCAGCTCAACAACCCAGTGTTCTATTAGTCTTCAGATTAAGTCCAGCTTTATCGTATTTGTTAAAATACTACCAATGAAACTAGAGATAGTGAGATCAGGGGTTGCCAGAGGCTGGGTATAGAGGAAGAACAGGCAGGCGCAGAGATGTGCTGGGCAGGAAAACCCCTGTGTGCTCCTGCAATGGTGGGTCCCCATCAGTGCACATCTGTCAAACCCAGAGAGTACATACATTAGGAGCGACCCCTCTGTAATCTGTGGGTGCAAATCAGACATCAGTTCCAAAACCGGTTCACCAACTATAACAAAGGTCCATGCCAACACAAGATAGATGTGAGCAACAGCAGAGACCGCGAGGGACAGAGGTGTTTGGGACTCTGTGCTCTGTTCAGTTTTTCTATAAACCCAAAAGTGATCTATAAAATTACTCTTAGAGGCCAAGCTCACTGGTAGAGAGCTTGCCTAGTAATGTGCATGGCCCTGGATCCCTGTGCCTGCCCCCCCATACACAAATTGAAAAGTCAAAAAATTAGGTCAAAGGGGGATTTCTCCACTGGTAGCACCATGTTGGTGCTCAAAATGTCTCAGATTTTGGGGTGCTCCAGATTTTTGGATTAGGCATGCTCCCCCCACATAAGCTTTTTGAATGCTTACCTGTCTTAACTAGATCTTTCACTCACCTCTTTCTGGCGACCTACAAACCGAATTTTCCTGTAGTCTTTATCATCATAAACCTGAAAGAAAAAGACCATCTGTGATTTTACAGTCCAATTCTGAAAGTGGTCACTGAACATCAATGACAACGTTTCAGGGAAGTGCATTTCCCTGGCATTTAGGCCTCTGAGGTTGAACCCAATGCCCAAGATGTGTACTGTGCAAGAAGGAGCATTTGCCAGAAAGATTCTAAAGGCAGGTGGAAAGCCTAGGGGAGCTGGCCAGCAGGAAGGTGACCTGCAGAGAAGAGACAACCCTGACTCGGGAAGGACCCCCAACCTTCTTTTCACGTAAGGCAAATGGCTTCATTTCCTCCTCTAAATACTAAATGACAAGTACACAGGGTCATCTGTTGGTTCACCATTCTGGGCTTTACGCTACATCAGACTCCTCGAGTTAGCAACACCCTCGATTTAATACTAAGCAGCATTAAGAAATTTCACCAAAAGAACTGGCGTAAAGGAAGTCTGCCCTAGACAGCGGGCAGAGCTGCCCATCGGACAGCACCTGGAAGGTAGCCCAGGAGCGGCCCAGGAGGGCTGAGACACCCACCGTCCTGTCCCGTCG